CTCATAAAATCATCGCTAGTTTTGGTTTTTGAGCTACAAAGGAGCAATAGAAACACGGCTTGTAGATTTAAAGTACTTCTAAGCACAGGAACTGTTTTATGATCCCCATTGTAGTAGTCTAACCTGGCAAACCTTTTTTAACAGGGTCGAGAACAGAAGATGAACAATAAGCTTAAAGTAAAGATTATCTCTGTGTTAATTTGTGATAGGTTTTTTGGTGTAGAAGTGCACCCAGTGTATATGGACCTTTCTCCCTCCAAATGTGTAAGAATTATATATTTTGTAGAAATCATATTGTGCCTGCCTTTCATAGCTTGTGGCATAACTGGTTTGATGTAGGAATAGCTTGACACTCGAAAAGGAGCTTCAGTGGTTCTGGGTAACAATGGTGGCATTCATGTTTGTGTGTTTATACTGCAAGAGCCAATTGGTGGAAGGAATTTTTTTTTTTTAATTTTTTTTTACTATTTAGCTTAATAAATAATCTGCTAATTACCTTGAAAATTACTAACTGAAAGCACAAACGTTTTTCAGAAAGTTGGAGACTGTAGTTGGGTACATGGAACTTTTAGGTGCTTATTTAAATCATTCCTAGGTATGTGCACAGATATACACATATATATGTATATATAAAATATTACACTGCAAGATTGAACGGGATTTATTTGGACCATTGTAGTGCCTTGAGAACTGAAAAAAATCACTCTAGCTATACTAGTGCTGTATGTCTGCATACTGAAAGCACCTACGGTTTTCAAGAAGTTTTTACAGTGCTTAGCAGAAAAAAGCATACTTATTTAGGCCAGCACTTCAGTGTGCTGAAGATGGTGAAACTTAAGCAAATGTTAGAGTTTTCCTTGCACTGTAGCCAAAGCAAATCAGAAGTAGAAAAACGCAAGGACTAACTTACCATTTCACACTTGATGACTTAAAACACAGAGAGGTTTATTTCATAGGGGAAATGGTGTATTATGAGTCGATGTTAGCCCGTACACGATCATCAAAGTGATATAAAATTGTAGGAAAAACAGAGTAGCACTAGTGTATCACCGGGTGAGCTAAAAACTATGAAACATTTGCTGACCCCAAAACTACATATTCTCTTGTCTTTTTCGCACTTGTGGCCTGGCAGGTGAAAGACATCACCTAGATTCTTGCTGAGGACAAAGCCTGATGCTTTGTCCATGCTAGCATGGGCTTCTTCTGTAAGATTTTTCCATATATAGTCAGACAGCATCATTCATGGCAGTTTCTCTTCTGCCTCTAATGCCAAAGGATACAAGAAGCCAAGGAGCAATGGAAAATAACAACTTGAAAAGTACTTTCATTTCAACTTCAGCCCAGTGATATATCATCTGAAACAACTCACACCTGCTAACATGTTTTGTACACCTGATTGAAACAGCGATAGCCTCAAAGAAAGGTTTGTGACAGCATACCAGGCACAGTGCAGATTTTATTTCATGAGATTCTTTGTTTTTAAAAAAGAGACTCCCACAGAATGCGTTCTTATGTTTGGGTGTTAAAAGTGCATTTATTTCTCAGAAACACAAAGTAGGATTAATTCCAAAACATAACAGATCTTTCCTGTAGATTTTGTGCATAGGCAGGATGACAAAAGCCTTAATTCCGCTCAGTAATCAATAGGCATTTTAGTTCTTACTGGTAATTCTGAGTATTGTCATTAGGGCTATCTTTCAAATTATACTGATGGAATTTCTTAAATCTAGATGGTCAGAGCATTTAAAAGCAGGTAGAGGGAAGCATTAAGTATATTTTTGTACAAAATAAAGCCTTTCACCCTTCAGTGCATTAAAGTGGAGAATCTGCCACTGCCTCCCTCATTGCTGGTCAGGGGTTTGTAACCCTCCTGAGGCTCATAAGCATGAACTTCCCTCGGCCCGAAGCTGCTGCAAGACCGCTGAGGTGCCGTGGGACTCTGCAGCTCCACTGCACCCTGGTCCTCCGTGGGCAGCCTGCTGCGGGATCCCTTTGGCATGATTCAGCCCGTTCACACATGAGGGTCTAAGGTCCAGCCCAGAAGTGTCTTGGAAATCTCCACCTCGCTGCATCCTGCTGAAATCGGCGGTGCTCCTCGCATGGTGAGTGCTACCTGCGCAGTGATAGCAATTCCTTGGCTTGGAGCCTGGTGGTAGCTCGGTGCATCCTTGCTGGCTTTGCACACCGCCGACGGCAAAGCACGCAGCAGTTGGGGTGGGTGAGGACTATGTACATTAGCAGTTTTATGGCCTGTACTGTAAGTGGCCGAATAGCTTTTGTACAGCTGTAAAGCATATTTAACCCAATGTTATAAAATGGGTCTAGAATGTATTTTCATAGCTTCATAAACTGTAGTTCATTTATGTAGGTACTTTTTATTGTAATCCTTTATCTTAAACATGAAACTGTTTCCTGATACCGTTTCTATTTTTTCTTTCTTTTATGAAAAAAGGGGAAAAGAAAAGAAAAGAAAAACTGCCTTTTTGTTATATGCATCAGGAGAGTCCTTAAGTACAGTAATAGTGCCCTGAACTTGTATTTTTGTATTTCTAACCTCAGAATGGAGGCCTAGCAACTAAAAAGCCAAAATAACATTAATTATGACTGTTCTTCGCTGTGGTTTTTGGAGTATAAGTTTGGAACAGATGTTTGGGGGGAGAAGAGGGGGTAGGAAGGATGGATTGTTTCTTTTTCTCAGCCCCAACTGGTTTTAATTCTTTCTTGAACATTTTAAGAATATCTTTAAACATTTGCCAGAGTTCAATTAACATCCTGTGACTAAAGGTGGAAAATGTCCTACTTTGTTTTTCTTCAACCATATACCTGCTCTTGCTGCTCATGCCAAAGCCAGAGAAAGAAAGGATTCCAGCTGGCACAGGTTTTATTGCTGTTACATTAATTTGCAGGTTAAGCCTTAAGTTGGGAGTGGTCTGCTGGATTGATTTATTGATTTACTTTTTTATTTTCATGATTTTAAAAAAGTGTCATGTAAAACACTGCTGTTTAATTACAGGAAGGTTATGCTCTTTTTGTTCATGTTTACATAAAGTGGTAGAAATCTAGTTTTAAAATATGTTTAAAGTACAGATTGTGTCTTGGTTTTATCGTGTTTTTCCTGTACTATGTATAAACAGCAGATTTTACATTATTGAAAGCCCTTTTTTGTGGAAAACAGGATTGGGGGAAAAAGGTTTATATAAGAATGCAAAATAACTTCCCGAGACTATTGGCGCAGTGTGACCATAAAACCTCAACAGCACATTGTGCAGTGACATTACAACAATTTGCTTTAGCACCTCTGCAAGCGTTCTCAGAAAGTCCTGTTCTACAAAACACATGCCGTGGTATCAGTTGACTGTTTTTTCCAGAATTGGTTCTTTACATGCATGTTTTTGTGATTAGTTGCTGTTTCGCAAGTAATTGGAAGTGGAGAATTTTTTTTTTTCTTATTTAGCTTTTTAGATGTATGTTTTACTTGCATACATTTATCCATTCAATAAGTTGTAACATACCTGCTTATATAGGTGTGCAGGCTCCTTTTAGTGGATTTATAATCTCTGGATTTGGGATTTTTTGTGTTTTAGTTTTAAAGATCGTTCTTGGATATAGCAATATCAAGATACAGATGCATCAAGATAGCAAATGGCTCCTAGGGCCAGATAGAGTCCAGCTGCTCCACCAACCCTTATATTGGCTCTGGAGGACTACTTTTTTTTAACCTGAGCATTATTAGTTCTCTTTCTCTTGTAGCCCAAAGTGGTAAGCACATCTCATGTGCAAATAGTTCCCAATTTTACTGATATTGAATAAGAATATATAATACTAATGTCATACTAATAATACTTTAAATAAAAATCTTTATGTTTATTTTGTACCTCTATCATTTTAGCTTTACCTCTAGGATTTTAGGGTGATTTCCCATATAGGCTAGCTAAGCTGAAATCATTTCGTACCAAAATACAGTATATTCGGTTCTGTGTTTTACCTATAGGATCTGAAGTGTTTGTGTACTTTCCAAAGTGGATTCTAGCCTTGTAACTGAATACATTTTCAGTCACTTAAAATTCAGCATGAGCTTACACTGTGCATTTAAATGAAAACTAAAGGTGATTTGAAATGTTGGAATTGACCTGTCTTCCATTACATTTGAAACACCAGGGTTATCCATGGCATGGGTGCGTAACTACTTGTGGTTTCATCCTGTTTGAGGTACCCACCCTCCGACATAGCTGTGGAAAGTATCTTTTCAGACTGTCTTTGTGACTGTGCAAGTTAGAGTTGCCATTTCTGTGGCGACTGTGAGTAGGTAGAGGATGTCCAGAAACATCTACCTATATCCTTGCTTGCTTAAATGTTCCTTCCTTTGGTATAGCAGACCCTGCTGGTTACTCTTCAAATGATGCAAATAAGCAAGAAAAAGGTGGTGGTGGTGGGGTGTTCTACCTTAGTTTCTCTAGTGTTTAAGTACTTTCTGCATAAAAATAATGTTAAAAGCTATATTGCCCTTTGTATTGGAATCCATATTCACATCATTACATGAGGTACATTTTTGAAATTCTCTTAGTGCTTATTTGCTAACGGAGCCTTGCTTCAGCCAGAGACAATAGAAAATTAGTTCTTCTGAGTAGTAATAGCTCCTAAACAGCTCGTTATTTAGCGCTTGATACTTGATCTGAGCTAGGAGAGGACTGGAAGGAAGGGTGGTTTCTCCAGAAGACATTTTTCTGGCCAAATCCTGCTCTGACCAGTGTCATGAGGAAGAGTAGGATGCTGGCAGCGGCACCGGCTGAAGTGCAAGACGAGGGACATGCTCCTGGCGCGAGCGTGTGTGAGAGCAGCCCGGCAGCGACCGCCGCAGACCACACAGCTCGCAGGACCCGCTGTGCCGGGGCTGGCAGCGGCCAGCAGGACATGCCCTGTGCCACCCCCCGGCTCGGCGCAAGGCCAAGTCAATAATAAGTTGTAATTGTTATTTTGATGGCTCTTTTGTGATCATGCAGAGGAAGAGATGTCTCCGCCAGCCTTGGCAAGTGCCCATTTGACAAACCATAACCATCTCAAGCAGCTCCCTCGAGTGACAGCAGAGCTGCCAAGCATGCAGTTGGCTTCAAGAAGAAATTTGCCTCTCCTCTCCCAGGAGCAAGGTTCAGAGGTTCTTACTGGGATAAGAGAGGAAACTTTTAACTGCGTTTGCTTGCGTCCATTGGCTGAAGAAAGGCTTCAGCCTTCACCATGGTGAACCTAGTGCTGGCTTTATGTAGGTGCTTAATCCAAACGCTGGAATTGCACTTGCAATCTAAAATGCCAATGTCTGTAGCACTACACAGTACTCTGTTTAAACTACCGTGGGTTTTCTTTGGTCGTATTATATGCATGTTTACATCGTCTTTGTGGACATGAGATAAGAAGCATTTTTGAAAATACAAGAAGGTAATCTGAATGGACCTTTCACAAAGGCTGAAAAACACTTTGTCCTCTGAGTTCCCTTCTCCCCCTGCACCAAAAACAAGCAAGCAGGCAAAGGAAAAACTGTGGATTAGTCTGTTTGAATGATCCAGTGTCTGAAATTTGTTGCCTGAGTTTGCAGAGCCACTGGTACCAGCTCACAGCCAAGAGAGTCCTGCTATAGCTTCTAGACCAAAGATTTGCATAGCAGCCATGATGCATCTTACTTAACTGTTTTGTATTTCATTGCCCCTAGCATTTATTTCTCGTGCTTTATATAAAGAAAGAATATTTCATTGCAAATGACTTGATATGTCTTTAGACCAGCAATGAGTATCAGCTGTGGGAACATTCTCCTTGCTGGTGAGCATGGAGGAAAGTGTGTACATCCATAGGCACAAAGGGAAGAAGTTTGACAAATTCATAAATATGCTTTAGTGTTAGACCAAAATTCACATAATATTAATAATTCACCTTTTTTTTTTATCAAGGAAGCTGTCAACAGTATAGGGGAATGCAAACTTCTTAACATAAGAAGTGCGCTCATAAAACTGGTTCTGTGAAATAGAAACTGCAGGTCCCGCATGGGACGAAGTGTGAAGCTGAATTTTTATGAGAGATTATTGGAAATTACCATGAACTTTCAGTGACACTGAAAACCAGTGTTGGTTTCCACGGCAGTAAGCTGTTTGCTCAGTTATTAATTGTATACTTAAATGTATGCTTTCTGGTCACAAAAATAATTGGCAAGGATGCTCTGGGTTTGTTTTTCTTCATGGGAGGAGAAAGAAAGAACTTGTAATGTTTTTGATCAGAGGTCAAGATAGATCGTATTCATTGTAATGGCACACACAGTTTGTGCTGGTTTTCATCAGCTTTGTCTTTTTTATATTTCAAGGCACAGTGTAGAAGTCTTTAGATTTAAAAAGTGACATAACTACAAATGATGTGCACCTGCTAGAACCAAGATTGACTTAGAGTTGAGGGGAAAAAAAATCCTCTGTAAATCTCACGGTGGAATGAATTCACTCAAAGGCAGAATTCACTGCAAAAGGCAGAATTTATCTTGGCTACAGTGGTGTGAATACCAAATAAACCCCAGACACATAAAAGATAAGGCTTCAAATTTTCAGCAGTGTAGCTGGGATGTTGTCTATTCCAGAATGTCAAATGATTAACTCTGCAAAATGTTTCTGAGCTATTTAAGTTACTGACTTCATCTGCTAGAAGAAGAAAAAGTAGTAGATGGGCATTCAAGAGGTGAGATCTTTGCTGTAGGATTAAGTGCTTTCTCGCTGATTTCGATAGCAAAACTGACTGGAATAGGAGGTAGAGCAAGTCTTTATGGTGCAACTTTGCTTTTCATCACACCACAAAGACTTCTTACCACGCAGGCAGTAATCATCATCCCTTTTCCTGCATGTGTTTACTTTTGGCAAATAAACTGCTGTGATGTAGACAGCCTTCTTTCTTATGATGGGTTGTGTTTAAACACGGCATAAAAATTAAAAGATAAATAACTTGTCAGAATACTTTGTGACCCTGCATGTTTTCTGTCTTTTCATAATGAGTAATTTTAGGTAATACCTGGCTCTGATACAGCATACTATGCCAGCTGTACCTAGTGGTGTCCTCAAGTCCATGCCAACCTCAAGTCCATCCCCACCAGTGGAGTCCACCTCTTCTTTGAGGAGCAGTGGCATTGTCTCAGCATGGAAAATTCCAGCAAAAAAACCCAACCTAAACTAGCATTCTTTCCTTCCCTTTGTTTTGGTTTTAATCTGCTGGGGGCAGCACAGATGAAGTGAGCCTTTTGGCAGGGCCACTGGAGTGAGGAGAGGGGAAATGGCTCTGTGGGCCAGGGCTGAGGGAATATTGCATGTGAGGGCGGGGGCAATATTAGGAAGATGTTACCAAGTCATTTGGACGATAAAACTTTGGTTTTAGGTTAAACTGAGGTAGAACTATGTAAGATCCCTGAATGAAAGCCAGATGATGAAACTGGATATAGTAAAAAGCAATGAGCTAGCTAGCAAGGAGCCTCAGAAAGAGCATTGCCAGAGGAGAGAGCTGGTGAAGGCATTTTTCTTGCTATTGTAGAACTAGTATTTAGTTACAGTAGTAATATTGTGTATTTGTACATCACCTTGCTGAAAGCATGTGCTGCTTTATCACCCTTTCCCCTCTAGATATTTGGATGCTTCATCTTAGAGGAATGTGTGCTGTGGATTTTTGGGGAGTTTTTTTGCTATTCAGACTTCTGAAGCCTAATTCTAATATTTTTCCTTTGAGTACTGGATGACGAGAAACAGTAAGGCCATTAGCACACGTGCTACAGGAGCAGCTCTGCTCGGTCCCCTAGAAGGGCAGCATGCCCCAGCAGAGCATCCTGTTTTTCCGTGCGCATGGCAGTGTCCAAGCGGAGATCAGTGAGCCAGCTCTCTTGGAGCTCTCTTAAGAGATATTGCAAATACTTGTCCAAGTCACACAGTTGCTACACCCTGGAACAGGCCATGGTTAAATGCAAAGGTGCTTAGTTTTTTTTTTTTTTTCCTTTTAAAAAGTAAATATTTACAGTTATTATTGTGAAACACCAACCAAGTTTAAAGAAAAGAAAGCAAGCAAGCTGTATCTCGATCAAAGTGCACTGCTGCACGCTTCCCCTTCAGCGCACGGCTGGTACCCTGGCAAGCTGCCCGAAGGAGCCAGCAGCAGCCGGCCGCTCGGGTTGCAGTTTGTACACCTGACATGGAGCTGAGGGCCGGGGACTCCTGCTCGGCCTGGGAGCGGCTTCGCAAAGCCACCGTCCCCGGCCTTACAGTACTTAATTAAAATACCCTGTCTAGGGGCTGTTTATTATGGCAGCACCAACCTGTGTGTTGTGCTTTTTGTTTTTCCTCTTTGCCCCCTGCCTCTGATGTGTTGCACGCAATCAGTGAGGCACTGTATGGGTTGCTGCTCTTAGACACTGACAACTGAGGAAATTAAATTCTGAGGCGGAATTACTTAAAAGCCTGACTAAATCAGTGTTGTTTTTCTATGGCAACTGAAATAACATAATGATTTAAAGGATACATTTTTATTACTGATTTTTTTTTTTTTTCCCAAGACAGTGTTTTGGATTTTGTTTATACCAGGACCCTCTTAAATACATTTGGGGATTTTTAATTTTTTTTTTTTTTTCCTTCTAAAGAGAGTACAAGCAGTTGAGTTCAGTAGGACACTGTTAGATAAAAGCAGTGATAAGACTGCAGTTCCAGCTTTGTTAAAGTAATATGCCTTTCAGGTACTTGGCACCGTTAGTATTACTGTTTTGTGCAAGAAGAAAAATAAATGGTTATTCATACTCAAAAAAGCTCATCACATTTGTAAAATCCATAATGACAAGTCTGGATTTAAAAACTCAAGACAATGGAGAATTTGCTTATACTGTTTAAACAACTCTTTTGACAATACCAGACAAAATCTTGCATTTTTGTTCAGGTAAGCTAATTAAAAGAAAACCATAAGGATGGTCTGACCTCACAGATGCTCAGACACACGTTTTGGTTTCTTCTGTCTCTCTCCTCCAATGTGTCTGTAAGTGAAGCATGGACAAAAGTTGTTACAGAATTGGCTCTTACAGTAAAGTTACTAGAAAAATTAAAAGGATGCCCTGAAAGTAAAGGAAAACCTATGGAAATGCATAATTGTAATGACTGCTGCTTCTCCCTACTGTTCTGTGTTTCTTTTCCCTCATGTACCATATTGCATATTAAGTTTTATAGAGCACTGATTGTTGTTTTATAAAAGTATGCTCCTTGTTATCACTAAAATTAGTGATATCCGTAGTAGATGTCATGCATTCTCAAATGATGTTTTCTTTGGGAGGTCAAAATCCTGTTTGGGAGGAAATCACCCCCTCTTAAGGGGGCTTACAAGGAGGTGATTATAATGGCAGAAATTGCTGGTATCAGTGTTCAGAATTGTGTATTTTCTCATCCTATGAGTGCATACGTGTATTTACAATGGGGTTTTCTGTTGCGTTTGCTTAAAAAAAAAAACCACTGAGCTAAAAAGTTTGAAAGGAACAGCTTGAGGAATTTTTTCCATCAAGATACAATCAAGGGCAGGAAATCGTAGAAGCAGAGTTGTGGTTTTGCCTCCATTTTTTTATTAGTTAATTAAACTATAACAACTCTTAACTTCATTTTAGGTTAACTGTTCCTAGAGTTCAGAAATATTTTAAGAGGTCAATAATGCTTTCTTTGGCTTTCGCTCATTCGGTGTGGGATAAGGAGTCGCAGTCAGCAGGGCAGAGTTTTCCAGATGTGCTGCAGAGCATGTGTGCGTGCGCTTATGTCGACAGTTGTTGACGGTGGGAAACCATCCATCTTTCCTCATCTGCGCACCACCCTGTACGGATGGAAACCACAGGAAGGGAACGTGGATAGCCTGACATCTGTAAGCGAACTTACAGTATCTGATTAAAGCTCAGGAGCCCCAAGTACTTGCAGCTACCAGTTGACACACGTTTTACTCAATGATGGAGAGGTACCGAGTCTGAGCGAGAGTACTGGGGGAGGAGGAGGAATCCAAAGGGAAAAATTTGTAGACAATAGGTGCGTATCTAGTTTTGCCAGAAGCAAAAAAACCCTAAAGACCCCGTTGTACACTGCAGCATGGGTTTTCTCTGAGAAGTCGGGATGTTTCTTCTTTAAACTGCCGTGAGGCATCTGCATTTTCTTCTCGGCGTGTAGAGCTGCTTAGAGGCGTGCACTTAAAGGGCATATGAGGGAAGCAAATAGAGCCATGCAAGTGTCACATAACTGTCTTTAATAGCGGGAGCTAATCCAGCACTCCGAGCCAAATCGTCTTTCAGCAGAAAGGATAAAATTTAGCAGAGCTGGGAAAGGGAAAGAAGAAAGGGGAGGGGAAACACAGCACCACCTCCTGCTGACACCACAGAAGTTTCCTTCAGCTTTCCCTCTCTCTCCCTCTGTGCATATATTTTCTTTTTAATCAGCTGGGGCTCTTCCCTACCCTGCCTTTTTTTTTTTTAACTGTATTTTTATAGTTGAAATTCTGCTTTCTTAATTTCTCTTGTTTCACATTTAACTTCTTCAGAGAATTTCATTAATAGTTATTGCAATTAAAAATAATAAATAAACTCAGCACCAGCTGCTCAAATGCTGTCCGAGCATATCTGGAACATAATGCGGTCTGTTCAGGGCAGCCACACAATGCAATTTATCCCCACACCTGAGGGAATGAATTTCACAACTGTAATTGCTACAATATAATTCTTATTAATGTTGTGCTATAATTCCTATTAATTCCAAAGGGCTAGTAAATGCATTAGGACTTGTCAACATATTATTTTACACTGTTTATGATCTGTAGAATTACGCTCTTCAGTATTGTATTGCATAAAGAAAAGCCTTAAAATTAGCTTTAATTGCGGGGGGGAGAACCACATTTTCTGTTCAGGCGCTGGGAAAGAAGGCAGGATCCTGGTGTTTGAGGAGTAATGAAACTGCATTTTAAAATCAGTCCTTTGAACTTTCTGTGCCACGCAGTTAACAGATATATTAATATGTTGAAGATATATTAATAATGCCTGTCCTGGTTATTAGAAAAAGAACCATGGTGTCTTTATGAAGGAATAAATAACTATAAGAAAGATAGGTTTATAAAATTAAAAATAACTGTCTTCCAGCAAAGACAAAAGCGGGGAAATTACAAGTCATTGTAACTGATGTAATAAATGCAGAATGTGTTATCTTGCTGTGCTCTTATTTATTCTTGTTTTATCTCACTACCCGGCTTTTCTAGGTAGTGAATATGATGAGGAGGAAGTAGACTATGAAGAATCAGACAGTGATGAGTCCTGGACGACAGAAAGTGCTATCAGCTCTGAAGCTATCCTTAGTTCAATGTGCATGAATGGAGGGGATGAGAAACCTTTTGCCTGTCCTGTTCCTGGATGTAAAAAAAGATACAAGGTAAGCAGTAGTGCAGACCTACTTTATTTCCCGCGAATGTAGTGCGGAGGGGAAAAAAAAGCCTCTAAAATCAATTTGTACCTTTCTCATTTAATAGACTTTTTACGTTTATTTTTGTGGTGTTCTAGCAGAGTACGTATTGTATTCACAGGTTTCCTCTCAAGCACAGTCAAGTTATCAGTTTTACAAAGGACATAGCCTTTTGCATCCCTTTTGATGTCGGTCAAGAGAGATCACATATAGTGAGTGACTCTCTTGCTTTACACATTTTAACTAGCTTTCTATTATTTAGACAAATTAAGTGCAGAATGCAGGAGGTACTACCAGCAAAATAATCTCTTGGGTCCTTTTCAGAGACACTAAATAGAGACACTAAATAAAAAACTGCTGCCCATCAGTGCCAGAATGAATTCCTGCAGAGATACTGCCTCTCCTTTAGGGAGACTGTGCCCAGGGTACTTTTCCTGGTAAAGGTGATGCGCGGAAGGTGATGGTTAACGTTTTGCAAGTCAGAGATCACCTCGGCAAGGCAGAGCCTCGGAGAAATTCTGGCATCGTTCTGTCCTGGGTCCGAGTCCCCGTGACCTGTCTGCACAGCCATCAGAGTGCCTGGCCCCACATGCAGGGCTTGCATCCTTCTGCGTGACATGCTAGGAAACAATTCCCACCACCCCCAGCCTTTTAATTACTCTTCATCACGTATATTTTTTGTTTGTTTATGGGAGTGAAACATCTTTAGCTTTGAACCTTGAGCTGGCTGGTGTACAACATGCTGTGATTTTGTGAGGATGGGAGTATTGCTTCACGTGAACCAGTGCAGGGACAGAAGAAATTGTATTGAACAGCTTGCACTTCAGTATGGTATTCTGTTGTCATTGAAATTTGGGAACAGAAGTAGCATCTAAATAATTTTCTGAAGTTTTTGCATGTTTTTTAAGTTTTTCTGAAGTTTTTGCAAGTTTTTCTGAAGTCCTGGAAAATTCAACCACTGACCTATACCCTAGAAAAAGCAGTGGAGGTTGGGTTGGTTTTATACTCGTTTTATTTTATGGCTTGTCCTTTAAATAATTGAAAAGTAGGGACTTAAAAGAGAACAGAAATATGAAAGAGAAATATAGGAAGACCAATAACATTTGAGATAAAACAGTTGTGACAAGAATGAATAAACTGTGCATGAAATTGCATAGTAGACAAAAACGTGTTTCAGTGATGGTGCAGCTGTTCTGGACTGCGGCAGCTCCCATAGCAGCAAATCACGAGGTTGGGATTCCTGTATAGATCAGTTAATGCTGACAATACTTACTTAAAACGTAAGTAGTGTGTTCATTTCTTAGTGAGATACAAGTCTTTTTTTTTTTTCTCCCCTTTCCCCCCGCCCCCCCGAGATTAGCCTTAACTACATACTGGTTATTCTTTTCAGTTACAGAAAAAACTGAAAACCATTTCCAGGGTCAGGGCAGAGGGAAAGATGTTTTCAGACTATTTACAAGGATTACTTTGCAGATTATTCAAGATTAATACTTTTCTTGTGTGTGGTAGAAGCTGTGCCAGAGGAAGGGTATAGTATAAACGCTAAATCCCTAGCTCAGGAAGCAAACAGGCCATGGTGATTGTTAGAAGTCGCTGTGCCCACAGGGCATCTATGCATTGCAGAAAACATACGCTTAATGGCAAAGGCTAGAAGGAGAACCCTGTAATTTGCTATATCCTGTCTGTTCTCTGTTTGACTGCCAGCCCTCTGTCTTTTTATTGCCCAAATAAGCAAGCTGTTTCTGCCTGCTTCTGCTATCTCGCTACCTTCATCTCAAATGCATGAGGACTGTCTAAGGGATATCTCGTCCACCATTAATGGTGGAACAGTCAGACGGGGAACAAATTAACAACCCTTAGAGAGGCTGAAGGGCAGATAGCAGCAGCAAATAAAAAGTACCGTATTTTCCTAAGAGCCTCACCTCTGTTTAGTCCTGATAGGAAAACACATTTCCTTAAACTGCCTCACCTCATTTCTCTTTTCCGAGGGCTCTGTTTCCTCTCTTTTTTCTTCTCAGCCTGATTTTTTTCTTTCTGCATTTTTATCTTTGTTTCCTTCCTTTTAGCTTTGTGTCAGCTGTGTTTCTTGTTTCCTCTTCGTGTTCCTTCTGCTTAACCCGCTCCTCTGATGAATTATTTGCAGAGTCTGGGTAGGGAGTCTTGTGATCAAAGCACTGGGATTTTCTGGTGGGTACTGGATAATCACAGTTCGGGCTGTAAAACAATTATGGAGCTCCAAACAGGAACACGGACATGCACATACAGTAATTGCCAGGCTCACTTTACGGCTGAGAAAGGATGCATTCCTTTAGGGAGCGAGGAGGAAAGGAGGATATACACAGTTTTCTTTTGTCTGGCCTTAGGTGACGTACGTTTGAGAAGCAGAAATTTTATTTTTAGATGTGTTATTTGGATTACAGTAATGCTTAAAGGACCCAGTAGGGATGGGGCTCCCTTTTGCAAACAATGTACAAGGATAAAAGATGGCCTCTGCACTGAAAAGTCATTACAGAAAGGTAAATAAGACGAGAATGAGTACAACAAATACTCCCAAGGAATGGGCTGGGGCAGACAATGGAAACTGGAATGAGAACATGTTTATACACAAGCCCAGATGAGTATCAGAAGTCCCTCCTGGCCTTCTGCCCAGCTGCTATCTCTTGGCAGTTTCCCATAGGCAGTGCAGTAGAAGTGAGCCATAAATATTTATCTGCTCTTCAGGGACTTTATTTTTTTAAGAAATAAAATGGCTTGCTTATAATATGTATTGGTACTACGCCCTCTATATAGTATGGCAGATTTTCTTGAGGAGCTGAAGATTTGGGGAGGGGGGATTTTAATGGTACGTAAATTTGTTTGTGGGATAGTCAGAAGCAGCTACATGAATGTAGAGCGCACTCACTTCAGATGCTTAAAGCTCAAGCCTCTGAAGCTTGCTTTCTTCTTCTCCAATTATGGTTACTGACCTAGAGAACAAATTATAAGAATTTCATAGTTTGCCATTGATGGATTTTTTTGTTGTTGTTCATATAATTTGTATTCCTCACCGCTCTTTACAACTACCTGAAAGGAGATTGTAGCAAGGTGGGTGTGGGCCTCTTTTCCCAAGTAACAAGCAATAGGGTGAGAGGAAATGGCCTCAAGTTGCACCAGAGGAGGTTTAGATTGGATATTAGGAAAAATTTGTTCACCAAGCATTGGAACAGACTGCCCAGGGAAGTGGCTGAGTCCACATCCCTCGAGATATTTAAATACGTGTAAGATGTGGCGCTTAGGGACATGGTGGTGGACTTGGCAGTGTTAGGTTATGGTGGGACTCGATGACCTTAAAGGTCTTCTCCAACCTAAATGATTCTGTGATTCTATTTGATGCCTTAGATGTGATTTTTAGAAAATCACCTGTGTGATTCAAAGGAACGCAAAAATCTCAGCCTTGCTTCTGTGGAGTGTACCCTCAATAGATTTTTGGATTTATATCCACTTTTGGATGGCCTGTCCAGAAGTCTGTGAGTATCAAGTAATTAACTTTCTTTGGAAAATGCTACCTGTAGGAGCTAAAGTCTGGATTTATGGCAATTAGTTTTCCTTTTATTCAATACCACTTATGTGTGCCAGTTATTTGGTCTCCAGCTCTGGAGGACATTCAAAATGCGTGTATCATTTTGATAAACTTAGCCAGCCAGCTTCCAAAGAGCAAATAAAGTTTGATACATAATAGATACAAAACAACCCCACAAATAATGCATATATACTATTATAGAGAAAACCCTAGAGTATTTGTCATAACTTTTCTAGTTTGTGCAAATACAATAATAAACGAATAATAGATTTCCATGCATACAAAACATAGCTTATATGCATGACTGCTTTTCGGCTATGAGCAAGAGGAGAAGTGGTACCTTCCAAGAATGCATTGGGCTTGTCTTTCTGGCAGGACAAGGGTCCTAGACCTGTGGGTTGGACAAACCCCTGGGAAGGCTGATCTAAGAGCAGTGATGCTCGGCAGAGCTTAGGGAGGGAGAATATTGAAGTGAGACAGGGAACGAAGGGAATTTACTTGAAAGAAAGGAGCAAGCCAGAGCTTGCAAGTTGAGTGAAGAGGAACTGGATGCACAAAGAAAACTTTGGGAGGAACAGCCAGGAGATACAAAAACATACGTCAATGTCCAAGTCCTGAAACAAGAAATCCTCCCAAACTATCCTTGATGTCTGTGTTCCCATGTGGAGGGGGTGGCAACCTCTCACACCTTCTGCAGTGTAGTGGCCTCACGAGGTCTGCTGTGCAGAGGGCCCTGCCCAACAAGTGCCCTTACATCTGTGCAAACCACGTAGTGCCAGTCTAAATTTCCCTATCTCCTCCTGATCTGGTCCCAGGTTAATAATTGTTTCCTCCTGTTCAAGATTTTGAAGTGCCCTTCTATACTTCCATCTTCTTCCTCAATTTGTGAGAGCAACCTAAGTAAGTAGAGCAATAAAAGTGATGTATGAGTTTGGCAAGTGGGTTTTGCCATACCTCAGCAAACTCAACCCAAACATACAACAAAGTGTTTACATTACAGTAGTGGAAAAAGTGCTGAAGAGTTGCCAGTAATTCTAACAATTTTCTTTCAGACAGGAGTACAGGTCAAATTTCCTGTTACACTAGCTCCGCATACTCTGCGTGGGTTTTCAAACCTTCCGTGGCCCAATTCATTCCACGTAGTTTCCTGGTGTAGCATTTCCTTAAATCTTCTGCCCAAAAGTACTTCCCCCATCAAAGCGCGTGGGGTACTCTCTACTTGAGGCTGAGTGGATCATCAAAAAATCTGGATCAGAAGAAGAGTTTTGTTGGCATGGAATAGTGAGGAATGGGATGGAATTCATGATTGCAGAGTTACGGCATCTGTAGCAATTGATATTAGTTTAAGTATCTTAAAGTGATTGGTTGCAAAAATTAAAAGTATAAACAAGTTTCTGTCATTTCCAAACCATATATATAGGGTTTGGGGGTAACTTTGTTTTTACATTTACAATTTCACTGCAGTAGCAAAAGCTTAGCAGGTCACCCCCAGATTTTCTCTTTGAAGATGCAGGTCCTTAACAGTACTTAGATGTTGACATATGTGTTATGACAGCCAACAGTCCTGTGGGTGCTGGTGCTGAAGGTTGCAACTATGTGCAAAACCATCTAAAAACTGCTGCAGGATCTCAGGTAACTTGCAGGGAATTCACTTGACTGCTCCTGAGGATGATTTGTAGCTTTGACCTGCTTTTGTCTTGTGTCGGTGGTACGGCCTTCTACCTCCTTTGAATACTCTTCACCCAGAAGTTACCGGCACTAAAGGCTCATATTCGTATGTCTGGTTTGTATTGGAGACTGAAGGTTCTTGTCTCCCACATCTCAGGTGACAGCTGTGCAGGAGTTGTCCGGTATTTTTAAGGGTGTGAAGGACAACTTGGGGGCTGGATTTGCAACTGCGAGTGAGAATTGAGTGCCTGGAGTCTCCAGAGGAGAGAAGCCATGAATTTGTGGGCAGAGCAGTTGCTTGCAGTCTTGCACCATACTTTCTTTCCAGGGTGGATATTTTAGGCTAAGTTTTTCTGTCTAAAGGATTTCCACAAGTCAACCTCTCCAGACACCCAGTCTGCCCCAAAGTGCCACTTCAGCAGTCCAGACTACACTGGGCGTCACGAGTTCTGACAAGAACAGTACCACACTCAACTTCATGATTGAAACCAACGAACTCTTTTTGCTTAAAGATTAAAAATACATTGCTGCAGTGGCACAGTGAAGGTGTAATAAATAAGGAACAGCATTTTACGTTGTAAGGTGAGAACACTGTAGCTATGTGGGGACTGGGCCGTTTCTCTTGCAATTATGCTCCTCCCTGCTTTCCTGATGGGAGCTGCAAGTTCCTTACACTTCTCTTGCTGCTGTGAGCTGTGGCTAGAGCAGGGCAGTGGCGGACAGCAGGCAGGGGGCTGTCTATCTCAGGAGTGGTGGGATGTAACTCTTGAGATACTGACTCAGAAGAACTTGGATTTAGGAGGTAGGGGAGGAGAAAGGGAAGTGCTGGCAGGAGAGTGGTATTGAAGATGTTAACCTTGTGCCTTCTGAAGTCTTCAAAAGTTTTAGGAGTTGTAGCTCTCTTCTGTTTACTGTAGGCTTTTTCTTTTTCCCTTTTAAAAAAAAAAATAAATTAAAAAAAAATGTCCTAACCTGTCTAATCGCTGTGCTTTCCAAGCCGGAGCTTCCACTTACTGTAAGCTCCACACTGGTAGCACTGAACTTGTTGCTTAAAAAGAGCCAGAGGGATTTTTTGCTATGTGTAACATCAAGCAGTGGTTCAACAAAGACAAAATCCCTGACATTTCAGCAGGTTAATTAATATCTGTGCTGTTAATTGATTTCAGCTTTTATTAATAGTTTAGAGAAAACCCTGAGATATGTATCTGGAAACTTCAGAGAGGACACAGCAGAGCCTCGGAGCTGTATCTTTTTGTCACAAATTGTCTTGGCATCTCCTTTGGTTTCTTCCTGGGAGTAGCTCTAGTGAAAGACACTTTGCCTTTTCTTATTTATCCAAAAGTCCAAACTCTTCTAGTGGAAGCAGATAAGGGACACTCCAGTCAGACAAATCCTACCTAAAGCAGTATCACAACAGCTGTTGAGACCACAAAGCTTCTTCCATTTTTGCCAGAAATACGTGAAAAGGAGGACAGGGGTGTGATTTTGATCATTGCTTAGTGAGAGTCTTGGTTAATCTACTGTAAGTGTTGCCTCTTTCCTGACCTTGCCAGTGTAACGGTTAAGTGTGTCACGGTGCTGTTTTTTGTTCTTTCTCCCCAAACATCAGTGGAGAGTTCTCTAGTTGTAGCTGTAGAATATTCCCAAACAATAGTTGTTTTGAAGACGGCTTCTCTGGATTATTTCCTGAGTGCCCTGCGTAACTCTTTAAGTTAAGTGTTTCCTGCAGTTAATTCTTCAGAGACAATGTGTAAACTATCAGAATTTGCTGGTGCCTAAAGACATATCTAGAAACAATGACACCAAACGGAACACACACACCATGGGGGGAGTTTCAGCTTTTTGAAGAAGTGTGACTCGAGTCTTCGTGCCAATTCTTTGTTTGCTTGTAAATGAACCTCTGAATAGAATTTGTCAATGCTGTATGTCAGGAGGCCCATTAAATGGTATTTTTTGTAAAGTGCAATACGTTGGGAGACAAAAACGAGGATTACCCAGGTAGACAAGTTCCATGCATTATTGTCCTTCTTGTCCCACCTCGCGTGTTGACAGCCCAACACATGCGTAGCACCTAGCGGCAGCTCCTAGCAATTCGTGTGATTTTGCCTGTAACGTTGAATCAGTTTTTTGTTTTTTTAACAGGAAGCCAAGCCATTATCAGCCCACTTGACCACTAACGTTTTACTTTTTCACTCACAGAATGTGAACGGTATAAAGTACCATGCTAAGAACGGCCACAGAACGCAAATCCGTGTACGCAAACCGTTCAAATGTCGCTGTGGAAAGAGTTACAAGACAGCTCAGGGCCTGCGGCACCACACAATCAATTTCCATCCCCCCGTGTCTGCTGAGATTATCAGGAAGATGCAGCAATAACATGCTGGTCACAAATGTGCCAAGAAATCCTCACCAGCAGTTGCTGATTCTGAGAACAGCCACCTTTTTCAGGGGAAGCATTCAGCAACCCTTTAAAAAAATTAAATGCATGCTTTAAAATTTTCTGTAATTTTGGAATGATGTATCTTTGTAGAGTTAATGATTTTGTACATTTGCACATGTAATCATCATACCCATGTTCATTACTTTGAGATAAGGTGCTATAAAAGCTTATAGGTTCTTCAGAACATTTCTCCAAAACAACGGAAAAAAAGTTAGGGGGGCGTTGCGTATTTAGTTGTCCTGAAGTGTTGAATAGGAGTAAGAGGAGGAGCGCTTGGCACTGACTTCCTTTCAAGATTGTAACGTGATGAAGACTGTCACTGCAGCTGTCGATGTGTGTGCAAAACCAAAATACCACCTTCGTCAAACTATCGTTAACATGCCTTACATAATGGAGTTACCAGTGGAGTAGCAAGTCTTTTAGGTAATGGAAATATAAATAAGAAAGAATGTTTAACATAATATGCTAAAAATATTTTCATACTTAAATAACATACATAAAAAGGTGTGCTTGCTGTATTTTATATTATCTTGCGAATCTTTTTTTTCCCCCCCTCTTGAAGTGCTCAAAATCTTGCCATCTGAACTAGTAAACAATCACTTCAGCGTTAGAAATTACTTTTTTTTTTTGTTTTGTACAGAACGTCAGATTATGTTCATGCCCATCAGACTTTTGAGGACCAATATCCCAGTCCAACTAAATATTTACCCCTGATCTCTTAGAAAGACACTTGGAAATACTTAAGTGCAAATTTATGTGTGTGTGAGAAACAATTATCTTCATCTCAGATGAAGTTTTAAAGCACTTTGTAGTTCTCTATTGCCAACAGATTTAATGTTTTATGTGTTGCCAATTCTTGCAACTACCGTACGAGCATGTGCCTGTGGTTGCAAATAAAAATTAAAAGTTCTACGCATGGTTTAAGGAGGTCCATTATTTGTGCTAAGGGAGTTTCTAATGCCTCTCCCTCATGTTCATTGTACTTTGAGATTTTCTTTATGCATTTTTCTTTTTTGCTTCTCATTGTAGGTCACTGCATTCCATTTGGAAGTGTCTGTTTAGCTTTACAATTAATTTTGCTGAAATATGACATATGAGCCTTATTGAAGATTAAGTGCTTCTTGCAGCAGGTGGTCAGAGACCGACTTAAAACAAAAGCCAACCTGAGAGCGCTTCGTGTCTGGACCATACCTGAACGTTTGTCGTTTACCATCCTGCCTTGAGCGTTCTTCTCTCACAAGTGCTGGTCTCGGAGCTGGCCGGGAGTGGAGGTGGGCACCCCCCACCCTGCCCCAGCCCCGAAACACTTCTCACCCCATGAGGGTTAGGGAGGAACGCGCTGTGTTAAACACAGCCATCGCCTTTGCTTTGTTTCTGTTATTTTAAGTGCAAAAGAAAGCTCAAAATTAAGGAGGAATGAGCTTTCCCTTTTTTTTTTCCCCCAAAGCTTTAAGACTAAAACCTTGTAAGGATAACAATTACCTGTTCTCCAGCAGAGTAAAAGTCTCATTAAAACACTTGGGCATCATCCTCACAAATAAGCGTTTCGAAAGAAACACCACTTTTTCAAAACCTAGAGAGGCGACAGTGCTTGCGTTCGTTGTAGGGTGCTGCCAGCCAGCTTTAAAGGATGATCCAGACATGCGAGTCGAGTTAGTTACTGGTGCACCAAGGCGGCCGCTTCCCACCTTCTGCAGCTCTGGCAACAGATCTGGCCAACAACCACGGTTTGGCTCTGCTCCTAAGTGCAAGAAACTACAGGCTGGGTAAGTTCCTTCAACAGCTAAACAGTTGTAAAATGTCATTGTTGCATGTAAGTTCCTTTCAACTCTAAAAAATGAAAATCCAGTTTCTATTTACCTATTCATTGTGACAGTATTATTAAACAGGTAAAGATGGGACTATTTTGTTATACTGTGTATAGTGAATGTATTGTACTGTGTCTGTGAAAAGTGTGCTTTAAATTATATTTTCATATGTTTTGTTGGGGACAAAGTACTTTAAGTTTGAAAGCAACAGAGGTTTGTTTTAGAACTGAAGGCAACTTAAAGAATTCCTGTCAAGAAAGCTGCTTATAAATGTAAATCAAATCACATTTAAAATAAACTGCCTCTGACCTAAAGACTGCTCTTTCCTCGTTACTAACCTAAAGATGCAAGTTCTTGGGCTGTATATAGTCTTTTTATTTGTATGTTTTACTTGGGGTATCATCAAACTCTGTATTCAATAAACACATGAAGCAACTTAAGCACTACACCATTAATGCACAAAATTACACAGAATGCTACAGCCTGGAGGGGCAGGGCGGGGAACCCCACACCAAAAAGACAGTATTTTGATTTAATCAGTCAAAAGGACTTCGGATTTCACAGGCTCTTTCCTTCCAATATCACAACAGGGCTCAGGTTACCAGAGGAAATTTGTGCTGACGCTACAAAAGGGCCTGGGTTACCTTTCTGCTAAGAGTTTGCAGAAATGAAGGGGCTATAGCTGTGAAAGGAGAGATCATTAAAACTGTAATTCACTGAGGTTTCAGCAGAGGTATTTGCTGCTGTCACTCACCTGCAAAACTCACTGGGTAGGTTATTACAAGCAGCCTTTTCAGGGTGGCTATTTAATAGGGAAACTAGGTCAGTGATTCCCTGTAACATACCACACACCTCTAGGAGGAGTCTCAGGTTTTGAGGTTGTCCTGCCTGCATGGGATACCAACCACTGAGATCTCCTAAGTCTTCAATAATATAACTAATAATATTTTGGGTTTATAGCCTAACTGTTTTCACATGCTGTTGAGTTACAGTAAGGAAAAATAAATGGACAAAATATTATTTCAGTACTTCTATACATTACCTTAGATCATCTCTTGATGAACACATATAACATAACACATATATACATGCACAGTATATAAAAAAAATCATCTAAGACTTAAAATGACTTGAGAGGACAGATGGAGTAGCTGCTACCCAAGACACTGCCATTTATCTGTCATGCAACTTTTAATAAATCCTGCATTGAACAGCATATTGCACATGTTCACAAGACAACTGCAGACAAAGAGAAGCTACTGAGAACCTTAAGCCCCGAGTCTCTCAAACAAAGAGCATAAATAGATGTGAGCAACAGTTTCTTTGTCATACAAGGCTGAAATGTCATTTACTGTAAGTACATGAAGCCTAAACTCTGGTTTATTTCAAAATGAGCATCAGGAAAAAAGCACCACTGACTCCATGAGTAAGTTTGCTTTTAATGTAACAAGACTACTGTACAACAAGTGGAAAGCAAATTTACTTAACACAGTTAAAGTAAATATAAAATGTTTAGATATACACGCATGTTTTTACTTACCAGAAAGAAATACATAAAGTTAAAATGCAGGAGGTTTTAAAAGCCCTAAGCCAAAAAAGGAACACAATCCACTGTTGCGAAAATATAACAGTATTTTCTACTAAGTGCAATTGCAACATAATGGCAATGATTTTTTTTTAAACAATTACTTTTAGGCATTTAAGCACAGCAATTTCGTTGAACTCAAAAATACTGCCTTAAAGTATAATGTACTTAATTTAACATTATCCCTTAAGGCAAACATTCTATATGTAAAACTGAAGTATCTGCCATTCCTTTTGTTGCAAGCCTGTAATCTCACAGTACATGCATCTACATTTCAGAAATGTACTAGAAAACTCTATTTCCATAGGGTAAGTAATGTAACTTTCCAATTTAACTGTTACTCAACAAAAAACTACACAAATTTGCTAGGACAAACATCTGTTTGTTTATGACATTTTTAATCATGCCTCTGTTATCATGGTCAAGAGAAACCCTAGGTGTTTCGGTGGCATTTTCATGTAGCTGAAGAACATCATGAAGCTGGTCTCATTTTTCTAAGGCTAAGCCATTCCTCCGTCCTTACAAATTCCACTAAGGGGAATAAATAGCTACATAACACAACAAGGTGGGCTTTTGTGGGGTTTTCTTAGTATAAGGTTAGGCAGAGAGAGAAGATAACCCAAGAGCAGCTTACAGCCACCATTTATCACAGCTCCCATTAGAGTACATTAGCTTTTAATCCGAAGTTCGCGCTGTTACAGAAAAGCTGTGCTGGTTTTGTTCCGTAGGTGGACTACTCAAAGTTGTGAGGTTTTTTCTAAGCTACACTGCAAAACAAAGTATTTAATCAAAATTCAATACGTTCTGATCAAAGTGCGTCTGAACGTGCCTCTCAAAGCCTTGCTGGTCATAGTCGGGCGGGAACTGCTCTCCGCACATGGGGCACACCTTCCAGTGGCTCTCGACATGTTCCTCAAACTTGCTCTGGTCATAGTTAGGTGGAAACATCACATCGCAGAGAGGGCATTTCTTGTGCACATCAAAACTTCATGAGGAGGCGGAGAGAAAGAAAAAAGGAAACAGTTATTTAATCTGTTAATGCGAAAGAAAATATAGAAGTAGGGTCCTGCTGCCGACGACGTTAAGAGCTTTACTACAAACTTAAGTAGACTTTGCACCTATGCAAGTTAATTTAAAACGTCTCTGTGGAAAGTGCTCAATGCAGTTAAAGTGCTTTTATGCAGCAATTCCAAAATAACCTGGCATTTTAAAAGCAACATTATTTTGACATAATTCCAGCTACCACCGAATACAAATCTGTTGAATGTCTTAATGGCCAAGCAGTTTCATGGGAAACCACTCTCTCTGCTCATAAATGCTTGCTCTTAGCAAACGTAACACTTTATAAAAGCTCTAAACTTAGGTTCACAATTAGGTTGGAAAGAGACAGGAAAAAACAAAAGTTACTCATTCGTTTACTGAATAAATTGTCCCCATTACGTCAAAATAAGGTATAACACAAATAGTCTGCCCAGTCTAACACATATTCTCTGACAGTGAATCGTAAGCCAAACATACACTGAAAGTGTTTAATAGTGTTTCATCTCCACCCCCACCTTTGAATAAAAGAGTCTAGTTACACAGAAACCCATCCACGACACTGAAGACCAAGACAAGATAATATTTACCTGGAATCAAAGCAGAAACCTGTTCCACGTTCATGCAAGAGAAGACTTGGAGGATCAGGAGCAGAAGGTACAGTGTTATCATCCTATTAAAAAAAAAAAACGAAGTATTTTAAACAACAGCCACTAGAAATGGCTTTTTTTTTTCCTCCTCCATACGCATTTTTTGTTATCAAGCATAAACAGATGAAATTTACCTTCGATTTTTTAATCTCTGCAGCGTAAGTTTTACTTCAGTGTGCAAAAGGGAGATGCAGTTAACAAACGTGAAAGTTAACAAATGTGAACAGCCAAGCACAGGCCACCTTTTGACTCCGTACCTAGAGCAGAAATCTGCGCCCGCACTGCTAGAATGCTTCCGCTAACGCAGCGACTAAGGAAATGCGGATCACCCACTCTTAATGCCTGGGGGCCAAGTCGGAACAGAAAAATCTGGGTTAAACTGAACGCAGGGAGTCACACTACAAACCATAATCACATTTTATTGAGAGCTGAAACTCAAACTCTAGACAACAGAATGTCAAGTTAGACTTTAAAAATCTGTCAATTTAAATTTCAGCAAGGGACGGGGGAAGACATTGATTTTGATTCACATCTGTCGGTTTTGAGCGATCTGCCTAGGCTGCTCTTGCCAGCCAAGTGTGTCACAGGTTCCACGCTGCCGTCAGGCACGTCGGCTCAATTGCCTGGTCTGGCTGCGTCCTCTCACAGGCTCAGCCAGTTGCGCTCTCCCTTCACCGACGCGAACAGCACGTAAATAGCTGCAGCAGGCCCTGATGAAGGTGGCTCTGCTGATGGACAAGCAGGTTTGCCTCACAGCTTCTATCGGGTTGGGAAGGCAGGTCAGCCTCTAGGGAATGTGCTGCTCCTCACCTCTCATAAAAGGAGGAAGAAATCTGCCTGCAATGGGAAATTCTCAAGCAGAAAAATGAACACCTCCAGTGACTGGATCCCAAGAGCTCCCTTCTGACAAGCAAGGGGTCGGAGCACTTACATTTTGCAGGTTTTTGGGTTGTTGCTTTTTGTTTGGGGTTTTTTTTTATTATTCTGTGATGACATTATTACAAATTAAGATGTAAATAAGGACAGTGATGTAACCAAACACAATTAGAGGAAGAAAAATAAGCACATAAGGAAAATAAATTGAAGGAGGAAGAAAAACGAGAACTGTGTTTGTAAACCCATTCCTTATGCAGTATCAAACTATTATACAGCATCTTGGTTCTATTCTTCAATTAGATAATACAGCAAAAAACCTATTCAAGGTAGGAAAACAGGTAAATTCAGCAAGATTTTTGAAACACAAACTCCTCAGTCATTTTCCTTCTCATCTCGAAGACACCTTACATGCAAGAATTACGAATTATTTAGCTGATCTTCAAAAATAGATGTGCAAGGGACCATATATAACAGCATACACACTGTATGTTTTATACAGATCACTAATACGTATATTCAAACATATTTCATTTTTAGGCTAACACACTTCATCCTTATGAAGAGTTAATGGAAACAGGGCATGACGGGAAGACTCCCTCAATAGTTTTCTTCTCCTGACAACAGCTGTTTAGTTTCAACCATTTAACATTTCCATTAAGCAGCTAGTGGGGCTTGCTGTGACAGATGCTGGCAACAGACATATTTTCCTGTCTAACTTGCTTGCTTTGCACCTGCAGTAAAAAGGGCATATGGGTTCTAAAGTATTATTTGTTCCCTTTGTCACGAAAGGGATAGGCTGTATGTATTAAAGAAGAAAAACTATTTAAAGTACTCTTCTGGTACAGCTTATATAGTGCCATAAACATGACAAATTTGCTGAGTAACAGACTGTAAGCAGACCAGGACTTACCTGAGAAAATGAATGTGCATCTTCCTTCAACAAAATGGTTCCACTACAAGCACAGGCCCAATTACCATTTAAATCCTTAGAAAACACTGTCTTACAATTCTTGACTGTTTGTCACTCAGTTACTTCATGAACACAAGGCATTTTTGCCACAGCACTTTATTAATACTTGGTTACAAATGATGAAGTGGATGAGGAGGTACTTCTCTGGTGAAAGGGCTCTTCAGCCTCGTATTCCTTAAGTAAGCTTTGTTTAGGACAGAGGAGCAGACCCAATGAAAAATCCACAGATTATTCATTATATTAAGGGTTATGAATTTTAGTTGAGTAAGGAGTCAGGATTTACCAATGCTAACCATTAACTTGGCATATAAGGGCACTAACCTAAGTTATGTGGGTAACATGATACAGATGAGACTTTTTTCCCAAAATTATTAATGCATTCAACAAAACCCAACTTTTAGAAAGGGTCTTTACGCAGACCTGAATGAAACCGCTACCCTGAATTCCCAACTGTAACAGAACACTGAACTCATCATTCTTGAAGTAATCCATCTTCCATACAAGTGTTAGAATACCACAGAAATTTTAGTGTCCCCTGTCAAAAAAGGGGGAAACCTCTCAGCCTCTACACACATATTACACAAAGATTAAAATGTACTGAGTGGTAAATGAAATATGTTCATATAAAACATTATTCAAGTAGAAGTGATCTTACCAATGCCCTCCCTCTGTGTCAGCAGAAGTAGACTGCTTTAGCACCAGTTTCCCCACATGCGTATTTCTGCTCTACCACCAGAGTCCACAAGAAAGGAGATTTAAATTGGAATCAACAACATGCAAACCGATTTATACTAAGGTCTGCCATTTTAAAAAATTATTTTTAGGAAAAATCAGCACTGCCTGTCCACTTTTATATAAAGCTTTAATAGGTTGATAGGTTGGGTGGTGGTGTTTTTCACACTATTTACTTTAGTTAATTTAGTTATTTGTTCAGTATCCCCCAAACACTTTTTTTTAAAAACATTTGGGTTACTGCTAGTCACTTGGCAAGATAAAATCGTTTACAGCTTTTGTCCTTTCTTTCAGTTTCTGGCAAGTGTGATGCCCTACCATGTACAAATATAACATTCCCCCTCATTCCTTTTTGAAAAACTGATTTGAAAAAAGAGCATGACCCTTTTCTCTAAGTGGGCACACATGCACTATCGGGCATTGCTGCCTCGTAGGCACTAGCTTCAACAGAAGGCAAATGCAAGTAATTGACAATTGAAAGAAAGGCTTTTCTGATGTCAAAGTAACATCAAGTTTGGTATGTCCAAAGGATGTAGCTTTCTCATGACCCAGTTCAATTAACTGTAGAAATCATACTGTGTGTTCCTTCTGGCCTGCGTACCAGAGAAGAATGACAATACCAAATATGTATTGGTATTACACTGTTAAGACATGGAAAGTCTCTCTTCAGTGTACTTTTGCTCTTGGCCAAGTATATAAAGAAAGATCGGTTCTTAACCTTTTGTTATGCTCAACCCAAACAAGAAGAATGCACATCTATATTGAGCATGCCTCAAAGTGCATATTACAGATCACTGTATAATAAAAGAATGGTCAAATAGTAACAATGAGAACTTTATCTTAGTCTGAGAGTATTTCACAGCTATTCTAATTACAAGTCACAGTAAACAGTATACTGTAACTAAAAATTCTCATGCACTGCCCTGGGGTAGCTTGGAACTTCTGGAAATCACAGAAAATGTCCGCTTGTATGGGACTCCAACAGCTGTCTGTATCTGTCATTTCAGGTGGACAAAACTTCTGAAGTGTAAAATGGAGAACTGTTTGAAGGGAGGACAGATCTTCCTCATCTTGGTTCACAATCACTTAGTGCCCAGTTTCTTCTGGCTAGTATAACCAATGACACATTCTTTATTCTCATAAATTATATTACATATGCTTTTCAACCTGACATTTAAAAACTGGTCGCTCTCCCATGATAAAGCAAACCATCCCCTGAAGACTGAAAGGCCAAAATGAGAAGGTTAGTTGAAGCTGCTTTAGAGAGTTTGACAATAATTGCTGGGAAGCCAGGCCTCAATGGCTCGGCCTATGCTATATTTTAAGCACAGGCATCAGCTTACTCTCAAGACCCCCCCCATGGTCGAGTCATCCAAGTTATTTGGACAGAAGCACATACTCCGTATTTTGAGAGACAGTTTAATCTGCCCTTTTTGTAGACCCAGAGCCAGCTTTCTTGTACTCCAGACCGATGACTAGCGACATGGCTGCACATACTTAATCCAAGACCCCTACAGTGCCCTGCAGTGATGTAACATAGTTGATATGTGACCTCAGGTCCTTGCGTAAAGAGTCTGATATCATGTGCCCATAGGCTGGCACTGTGGTTACGTAGCGTAACAAGTGCCAGGCCTTCTGAATTCTGAAGTTTGGACAATTGGGTTAACGAATTATAAAGGGTGCCTTTCACATCATGACTTAAATACTATCACTGGACTGTAACTCTGACTCTTTGAAATTGCCACGAGTTACATAGATTATATGAATCATAAAGATAAATCTAGTATTACACAATAAAGCATGCTAGAAAAGAGGGGCTTTGTCACTAGAAGAGGAAGAAAGGAAAGCCAGACATTAATTGTCAGAAATAAGCACAACTCACCTAGTTTTACCAAAACAAACCAATTTTGTCTCAAGTACTGCTTTCGTAATTAACAGCTATACGCAGTTCCAAGATTGTCAAACAGAAATTAGAAACAAAGCCGTGGGACACTATACAAAACCCAGAGACTTGAACAATCCCCATCTCTGATTTCTACAGATCATTTTAACATGCAACAGAAAGTGAACCGATACCCATCTTAAGCTTTAAGCAACAAACAAACAGATACACCGCTAACGTATAGTGTGGGTGAACTGGAAAGAAGAGTACATGCATTTCCTTTCTGTGATTCAGCTCTGCTGTGGGAGTAGAATCAAACTGTTTTAGCTCTCTCTACCTCTCTGCAAGCAGTCTGGTCTCTCAAGAGGTACCTGGATCCTAACTGCTCCTTTTATGTCTATCCTATAGAAAAGGTAGTAATTACCCAAGTAATTGGTTGCCAGGGTAAGATCAGGCTAATAAAGCATAGTGGGTTTGGCTTTTGCTAGAAAAAAGCCCATTTTGGATTCATCTCAAAAAATATCCTGACCTGGTTGTCAGTTGCCAAAAGTTACACTCTTCATACCCCACAAATTTACTGTGACTAACAACATTGTTTAAGAGTCTCGGGATAGTTACTCTGGGCTTACTGCCAACTGTAATCAGAACTACATTTCTAAAACTCACACTTTAGTATTTAAAAAAAAAAAAAAAAAAAGTTTTGTTTATGGATCTCTCCCTTACATACCTGCTTCTAGAAATTATTTGCTCCAAATGATTACATTTTCGTCAATTATGGGAGCATGAGCAAATGGAAAGTTGGTACTGAGTAGATGACGGCAGAAAATTTCGGCAAGTCAACTGTTCTACACAAAGTCACTACTGTGTGCATGCTTATCTGGCATGATTAACACAGACCAGCTTATCCCTCTCAGAAATCATGGTTTAATTGGCCTTAAGAGTTCCAAAAGCCAAAGCTATGAAGAATTACAGAAAGTCTTGGAGTCATAAAAAACTGATGTTCTTTTATGTCAACCAAATACATGGGAGTACCCATTCCCAAGGAACAAAGTTTTGGGAGAAACAAAATCGGAATACAATAGCAACATTAAACAAAAATTCTGATGCATTTGCAGATATATCCTTACTTGGTCTACAGAGTACTGAAGACAGTAAAGGCAGCATAAGTGTCACCATCACCTGATCTTATACTGCTAGTCTAGATAATGATCACTAACAAAAATGTCTTCACTGAGAAGCAGAAAGGGAAGCCTACTACACTTGGAGTAAGAGCAAAAAGCATTCTCCTTAGGAGTGGAAACTAAGTTCAGGTCACATTAGGAGCAAATGCCTCAGCAGAAGTATCATCTCAGTCATAAGCTTGAGAATTTTGTAACTTACCAGTAGGAAAGACAAGACAGTTTTGTAGAGGGTTACAAAGATAGCAGCTGTACTTCACAGAACTGAAGATCAAATGATTAGCTGCAGGTCCAGAAGCATCCGCAGGAAAATAATACATGCACAACTTCAGCATGAAAATAATCTTCTTAAAGTGAGCTTAGGGCATCTGTGATGTCTTTCCTTGTATGAATGGGAATGGTACACCTAGCACCCATCCAGTGCTGTAAGGCTATGCAAAAATCCTGACTCGCTTGGCCAAATGTGCTCTTATGATGGGTGTTAACGGTGTGTACAGAACTTCTGACAGTGGAACGAGAAAGAAGCAGTGAGTGAATGGAGACCAAGCTGGCACCCTTCTTCCCCATCGCCAACTGAAAGGATAGTTACTACCTTGTGCCACACCTCTCATCTATTAATATAATCGAAAGACTTGTATTTCCTCCTTGGGATAGGTAGAAAGATAACCAAGACTGCCTCACTGAGATTTATAAGACGCATATTGCTAAAAAGTACATGATGGCAGCCACATTCGTTCAAGAGGCTGACAATTTTTCTTCATTGGGAAGCAAAATGGAAAATGTTCCTGTTCATGTAGAAAATTATGGTTGATTCATAACAGTAAACAATTTACAATTCTAAAGACACAGAATAGAAACATAATCCTTTTCATATATTGCAGAAAAGGTACCCTAAGTTAGATCTTTTTCAGTACAAGCCAAAAAGCATGTAAAAGCATCATTGCCCAGAAACACAAGACTCCTTTAGACAAAAGTAAACTGAGCACCTCAAACAAGTCTGTTACAAGACTGATGAAGAAAAAGGTTGCATTAAAAAACAAAACAAACAACAAACAAAAACACCTTATGAAGACTTTTCAAAAATAAGGAGACACATGGGATTCCCATACAGAAGGTTTGCATCAATTCAGACAGGTGTTAAGATATTTCACTAAAGGGGACAACTGCAGCTCAAGTAAAAGAATCAAGTTTTACCACAAAAAGGACAACTAAGGAGTCCTGACTTTCTCTGGATTTGTCTTGTTTTCCCCGTAACACTTGTCCCCCCATCATCTCATGTTCTCTTCTTGTTTATTGTAGTTGTATTAGTGACCAGTTTGCAGCCATATGCAGGCCAATTAGCCAGCTGCTGGATGCCTGTTAGAACAAGAATTTAGTAAGGTATCTCTTATCCCAAGCGACTGTCAAAAAACCTGTAGGAATTCAGTACCTAAGACCTCTACCCCATGTCAAATGGCTGAAGGTAGCAGAAGACAGCAAAAACAATATCCAGAAAGAAATAAAAAATGAGAGCAAGAAGGCAAAATAAAAATCCGAACAAATGGGAAGAGAATTCTGTTTTGAGCAAATGCCAGAGTACAGATGAACAGAAAATGGGTACTGTGCTTAACATCAATTCACAGCACAAATGAGTTGCACAAGTGCTGGAAAGCTCCAGTGAAGGCAAAGGCTTTTAAAACTCAAGGACATGTAGAGTGGAAACGTGCAAACGGACAAATGCACAGAGACAAATTCTAGATTCTTCTCCTGGTGCTAAGGAAGACATGTCACAGTTGGAAAGACGATAACTCAATGTTTACAATGAAAGAAGGTCAAGATAACAGCTGCAGAGATGTGGTCTGTAGGTTTGAAGCAATTCTACCTAATTCCCTGTCCAGAAAACACTTCTGGGAGAAGCATTCGGGTTTTCTCCTCTGTCATCCAGATTGTTTATGAAGTTACTCAACTGCACAGGAATGTAAACAGCAACTACTGCCAGCTATGTTTCACTTGCTAGAGCCCCTCATGGTTTGCTGACCTATTCCTTAGGCTAGATGAATATCCTAAAGGAAGGGAGGTCCCATTTCTGGCCTTCATTCTGTAGAAGCAAGTCACAAAGCTTTTCTCACACATGTGTGCACACGCTTCCCTATTCTCACCTTATAAACTGAAAAAAGCCATATTTTAGTCATATCTGAAAAGTCTGTTTACAGTTGTGTGTATACAACCTCCACTTCATTCTCCTATGTATCATAACGTTGGTCCAGGGTCTCAAAGATCTGTCATCTTAGATAAATAATGTAGACATGTTCATCATCATACGTAAACTACCACCAAAACAGCCATGAAGTGGAAGTGACTACAACACCCTCAAGTTCTTAAACTAATATAACACGTAATAATAGGAATGTGGAGAGGAAGATGACAGAAGTCCACGCAATGGTAGTATTGTAAACAAAGCAGTAAGACCACCAATCCTTTCCTTCTGGGAGGGAATCCTCCACTAACAAAGGCTCCACATCTTACTGGTTTAAAAATGCACAGAATTACAGCTTATTTTAAAAACCAGTACAACAAATGGTAATCTCTTCATATCTATTATTTGCTGTTTCTTCCGCGCAAGTGACAGGCTCTCCTTTATAATGAATTGCCTACATATATGGAAGTTATCCCTGGTTATTTCTTTACTTCATTAAAACTCTCTTACTTTTGGCATATTCCTACGTCTCTCTAGAAAGATTCTTGCAACCACTCATTTCCATGTACATTTGTACACTACACATACAGTCTATTTTTGGGAGGAGCAAGCAACCGATTCGCATTTGACAGTAAAAAAAATAAAGATATAAATTATTTGATTTAAAGGCACCTTTTCTCAAGTTGAACTTTATTTAAGCCTGTTATATTCCATTCCATTACAAAAACCCAAGCTGTGTCAGCAAATGAGCACAAGACTCTAGCACTGTTTCTCTTGGGTTTGCAAGAGGGCAAAGCACATAGATCAGAAAGAACACCCTGTTAATTAAACTGAAGCAGATGACTAAAGAAGAGAAGAGCCTGTCATATGTATTATCTACGTCAAGAATGATGAGATTAAATATGCGAAATGTGAAGTGAACGTGGGCAACAGCATTAAGCTCACATTCTAGATCTCAAACAGGCAGCACAAGTTCTGACAGCTTCCCTAATTATTCACAGTAATGGACACTGGGGGCAAAAGGTAGGAGGGAGAAATACATTTTTCTCCATTACAGGTGCTGAGCACCAGGGCTAAAATCATGGCTGTCTGAACACTGATCAGTTTCTTCAAAGGTTAATAGCAATTAAATGTGGCAAACTAGACTAAATGAGAAACAGGTCATGATACCACTACTTGCAAAGAGCACAATACTTTGCAGAAAGGTATTTCTTGTTTAATATTTTTGAAGGTACAAGAGTACTTAGAATAAGAAAGAGCAATAAATCTGTTCCTATTCAAATGAAGACATACAGTCCAGTTTATTACAGAAGCCAATTTACTAAAACCATTTTTTATACCAGAATGTGCAAGTTAACTGTGTTAAAAAGAAAAGCTAACCAGTTTCCACTTAAAACATACAAAGCCCTAAAAAAGAAATCAGTGAGGATCTGTCACTTTCAGTTTAAGCAGCTTTAGACAACTACTTATTCCAAACACATGTCTAACAGCAAAAAATTCAAAATGGGAATTAATAAATGCAGATTTGCAGAAGACAGAACAAAAGATTAATACATTAGAATGAAGTATGTAATACGATACAAATTTTCATTTACCGTTTACTGAAAATGCTGGTATCAGAATCCTTTAAACTTATTTTTTCTGTTACAATTTAGTTCCTACGTACAAATTATAAGATGCGTAAGACATGGCTACATTTTGAGCCCTCATTCTAACACAGAGGAGAGGAAAATCAGAATGAGTTGAGATTACTTGGATTCTTCTGCTTTAGTATTTAAAAAATTAATAAGCTACTGTCCTAATACCAAAACAAGCTGTCAGTAACTCAAGAGACTGGGGGAACAAGTATATTATCATCAATTGCTGTGCTGAGTTTTCTCTTTCAAAGCAAGCAAAATTCACCTAAAACATTGTTCAGGGAAAAGAAAAATCAACTCCAGATTTACGTAACAATCAATTAGGCTTACCACATACTGAAAGCCTACGTGCAACCCTTGATTACTTATTGGTAAACATATCAAGGAAAAATAATAATAAAAAAAGATAACTTGCATTGTTATCCTCAGGATCTTCTAAACCATCAGGCCGACTAAGATTGCGTGAAGGCTGACTACACACTACATCATCTTCTAGCTCCCAAAAGGAAGTTCTAACAGGTGGTCTTTGGATCTCATCAGGATTAAAAGCACCATCTGCTCCATCTGAAGAAAAATTAATTAGAATACCTTTGTTCAGTAGAGTTTGTATTTTGAGATTATAGCTGTGCTACCTTACATTTAACAATCAAGACTTAAAACACATTTTACGTTTAGATAATATAAAAGAAGAAAAATCACCTTTTTCAAAGGTGGGTTTTTTTAAACTTTGTTTACCTTATTGATTCTCACCAGTAAAATAAAGGCACTCAAGTAAATGCTCAGTCAATAAAGGCTTTGTACACCAGTATAAAGATTGTTGGTACTTAACCTGCATTAAATGAGCCATTGCTTTTGAAACAGCAGGAGGGAAATTTACTTACCTCTTCTTTCCTGAATCGCATAAGGGTTTCCATATTGCAGTACTGGTAGCCTGCTTGGCACTGCAGGAACTGGTCCACTTTTCTCTGAATATGGGTTGCGAAAATGTAATGTCTGTTGTGAAATCTGTCCGTCCATCACCCTTCCAGCTTCATTTCCTGGTGTCCTACCAAGTTCCTAAATAATGCAAAGTTTCAAATGTAATTAACCTACAGAGTCCTAGCAAAGTTTGAAATTTTTATGCAATATTTAGATTTGTTTTTAAAACTACATCTGCTAACCTTCCAACTGTCTTTTCATCTTGCTCTAGTGCCAAATATACCATACATACCAAAAATAGTCAATGAAGAAAATACAAAAAGATACTTTTTCCTCTTCTTTTGTCATCAGTTAATTCAAATTACATAAATAGATCAGACACATTTTTCAAGAAATATCTGCATCCTTTTTAAAATTAGGAAAAATCAGTTAAATAGGTAAAGAATGGATGAATTAACAATAACAACTAAAGATAATGTGCAGTGAGAAAAGTTTTTTTAAGTTACAATTAAAAAGAAAATAATACTTTTTTTCTTATCATACCATACCATTCAAAAATGCACCATTTTAGTATGTGAAGTACACGTATGTACATATTTGGCATTAATTCCCTATGAATTCATGAGTGGCAGATACTTTAAGAACTAGTAAATACCTTGCACTGGATCCTTTCTGATATCTAGCAGCAGAACATTGACCTACATGAAGTGTAACCTAACACGAGCTAAGATGAGCTCAAGGTTGTCACTCTGAGTAGAAAATGAAGAACATTAGAACAAACTTTTGCATAATGTCCTTCACATGCACACACACACAGGGAAAGAAACCAGCACAGAGAATTTAGAAGCAGTCTATACTATTTTCCACAACATAGCTTCCTTAAAGTTACCCTTATTTGAATACACAGACGTGTGCACGTTAAGCTCTGTACATTATTTGCAGATCTGTTAGATGTAGCTGTGTTTATAAATGGAAGAGAATTACTTTGTTCAAATGCAGAGATCCTATCAAACATACTCACCTAAAACTACACCTTTGCCTCTGTAGGCAAAGATCCATTACTTTTCCTTGTTCTCAGTTCCCTTAAAAAAAGATTTTTAAGTACATGATGAGGTATGTTAAACCGGTTGGAACAATTTTTGTCCTTGTTTGTGATTCTGCTTGGTGATCATGTACCACTTATAATTAATTATTAGGGGGCTTTTTAGTTGTTATTATTGCATCAGAATATTTCTATCACCATTATACGAAGTAAAGCCAAAAACTCCCTTGTCCTAGTCACTACTAACACAGCTGAAATTTTTGCATGTTTCTCCTTCTGAACAGAAGGAAGAAAAAGGATTGTTTTGTTTTTTCAATTAATAAACAGTATTATCTACAATACTGAGAAGCGGTTTGTGGCTTGCAAGGACTGAAGATATGAGAACACTTTCAAGCTGCACTGTAAAGCAGACTTAATCCAGTTGATACCTTTTTGCTCTTACATTCAAAGACGACAGACTGGACTCTATAAAAAAAATTACAAAAGGCTGGGGGGAAAGAAGAGAACAATAAGGAGACAGGTCAACATGTTAAGCAGCTGTTTCTCCATCAATAGCATGAAGTTGACAGCTTCTTAGTGGGCATGAGAGAAAGGCTAGTTTGCAGGAGCACCCTGAAGAAAATGTTATGTTTTGGAGAAAGTTTTCCACCGAGTAATAAAATAGCATGGAAAAAAGCACACAAGCATGTACATTTGAAAATGTAGCAGAAAAATGTTGGAACATGGTCTCACAGATCAATTCATGCTTTTGAATAGGCAAGGAAAGAAGACAGAGAATGGTCCATCAGGAAAAATCTGGTAAGGATCCTGAAAGCCTAACAAGTAACTCCTGATAAATGCAGTGGAGACTGACAGTCAAAACAATGGGCTACCAAAATACTGTGTACCCTACACCACTTTCTGAACAAAAACAAGTTAGAAAAGGTTTCTCCCCTCAAAGTCAGAATGGCAACAAGCAAGTGTGACAACTCTATCAAAATTCTGGGCAAGATTTTTAACTTGATGGACAGCTGGAGGAGACCAGATACTTTACATCAACAGGGTTTAGGTAAACACTGGGATAAGAAAAATTTAAAAATGGGTCAGACTGAAGACAATTTGCTCTATCATTCTGGACTATAACCTAGGTATGGCAGTCACACCACTAGCAATCATGCAAAGGCCCCCGAATATATATTTAAACTCAGCATTAACTACTAGACTGATTGATTAATTCTCTATTTTTGATAATGTTCAGACAATTGATTCTAGGAAGGAAGACCATTATTCAAGGTTGGTATTTTCTATTTATATTAACAAATAGAAATTAGTGCTGCTTTTCACAAAGGTAGTCCAGATTAGGTTAATTATTTCAAATAATACTTATACTACAAGCATCATATGAAACAAAATTGCACTTGTACTACCGTCTAATTACAAATGAGTGGATTTTAAATCCATGAGCAGTTTCATTTTCATACAGATTCCAAAGTTATTACACTTCGTGTGAAAAACAATTTGCCCTCTATGAACTTAATGAGCAAAGTTCTAATTCATCCTTCTTCCTCCTTTACATCCTCACCTACTTTACATATACGCATACTTACAGTTTAGCTAAAGTACGTAGCTTACTTCCAAAATTCAGTTATTTTCATCCACAATATAAAATTGTTGAATTTATTAGAGGGGTTTAAGTGGCCTGCTTTATTTAATTTGGTTGTTTGAATGTTTCTATCAGAAAGGCAATTAATTCTTTCAGAAAAGCTCAAATATAACTTTTAAAAAAATTAATATACTTAAAATCCTAGATTCTTGCATATAATCCACAGAAATAGTAATTATTCTAAACTACTAAAGGGTTTTTGTAACTTTTAGGCCTTTAAAACTCTAAGTGAATATATATGTTACAAGACAGCAGTAACTGAAATGACTTAGGTGTGATCAGTGCATCAGCTCTAATTCATACAAAGAAAAGTCTTTCTCATCCTTCCATTTAATAAAATGGCTTAAGG